GACCCAGAATTTCCCACACACTTCTAGGTCACGTTAACTACCCAACTAATTAAACTAACCCCAAATACGCCCTGCCAACTCCCTATGAAAACAAATATATAAAATCGAGTTCCAATTCGCATCAATTTAACGATAAATCAATCCCATAGAATATCATTCAACAACATCTGTGGACCACCTCACGAGGCAAGTTTATTATTCAAACTAGGCGAAACTCAATGAATGGAATAAAAATGAAATAGGCACCTAACCCGAAATCAAACTAACAACAAGGGGGAAACTCTCAATTATTCAAATACGAACAAATCGTTATTGGCCATAACATAAGGCCGTAATCAATGACTTAAACTAAACATGGAGTAACTAAGCAGCTTATGGTCCTCGCTCGTCATGTCTCCTCCGTCCTATCACCATGTTCGCTCCCAAGCCCTTCACCTGAAACAATCATCGTAGAGGGGGGGTGGGTATATAAAATATACTCCGTAAGTAGCCCTCACCAACGCGCACACACATCATGCTCAACTATATCAAGAAACATTCATAGTCATGTTTTTCAATACATTATGCATTCAAACATAAACACATTCCATAAAATTTAGTGACAACCACAACCAGGAAGCACGTTAACAACGAACCTCTAGTCTCCCTAACATCACAAGTACCTCTACGCTCATCACAGTTATCCTAACCTTCCACAGTTATCTCCTTCAAGTAGAGTCGGCCCCTGACCATTTATACCCAGAGCCCCGACACTGTTGCATCGGCCCTCGACCATTTATACTCGAGGCCCCGATGACTTCACCATTTATTGGCCCTTGACCATTTATACCCAAGGCCCCAATAGACTTCCTTCCAAAGGACTCCTCGTATCGACCCTCCACCATTTATACCCGAGGCCTCGATACTCCATTAGTGACGTATCAGCCCCCGACCATTTATACCCGAGGCCCTGACACCCACTCTTTCATTCCCTCCAAGAATCCAACATCCACCAGAGATCTCACCATTTTCATCGACAAACATCCAACACAACTCCAAGTATATCGAATAACACAACGAGAATTAATTAGCACAAAGACGTGAAAGAATTTGCATAAATCGCTACAAAATCAGCACGTTAGAGACCATTTCGCATACATTAACACACGCACACGCCCCTTGTCTACATACACACAACCGCGCCCTTAAGTTTTTGCG